TATAATCCCAAATGTTAACCTTTAGTTCCCCGAGCATACTGGAGAAGTGTATAAGTCCTAGTTTGAGCCCCAAGGCACTACCGTGGGGAGGGAGGGCAACGTGACGGGTGGCGGTTGTCGTTCAGTAGGATTCCTTCTTAAGGGTTCAAACTACTATACTGCCTACAGCAACTTCCTTTCAAACAATGGGTACTCCAACCGTGAGCCTGAATGCAAAAGACGATTTCGATTTAGTTGTTTGCAATCGCGGTAAGCGAGTTTGGCGCAGGATGCCCCCTGAACTCTACAGCCAGGCTACGTCTCAGTTCAGGGAGGCACCACCCAAAAACAAACAAAACAACCTTTTTTTGAGACACAGTTTGGCCGTTGTTGCAAGGTGCACGAATCATGGTGGCCTTGGATAACAGCGGCGATGAGCTCCCCATGGTGAAAAGTACGCGGGAAGCTTAGGAACTGGGCGCTGTAGTTTACGGCTTATAGGGTTTAGGCTTAGGGGTTAGGCGGTTGGGGTTTCGGGAAGGGCAGAAAAAGGGGGCTTGCACAATCATTGAAGCTAGGGAGGTGTTATAAAGCACTTCACTTCACCCAAAATCCTCGTACCGCCGAAGGCTGCACAGTTTTGCAGTACTAGTGCGTGCTAGCTGCCACTACTGTTGCTTTCCTCGTAGGTCGACAACGGGGAGGACGACAGCAACAGCGGCAGCAGAAGCAACACCACCACCGACGAGCATGCGATTTGATAGTACTTACTCCCCCTTTTTGCCAGCATGAGTTGCACGGGTGCTATGATAAAGACGGTTTTCACAACCGGTATTACTCTTGCTTCCGTGTTAACATGGGCACTTCATTGCCCATGTTGGTATTACGGGAGGACAGCCGGCGGAAGCCTTTGACCAACCAACACCTCGTTCACCAAAACCTCCTGATGGCTTGTCGCTAAGTGCTTAAACGAGCAGGTATATAATCTTAGGAAGAAATAGGCACACCGGCACGTGAGCATATACAATAGCTGCTATAGCTTCACATTCGCAGACTCACATTGCACTTCCCATGGTGTTTGTGTGCATGTATATAAGGAGGCGGTTCAGCCATTCAAAACCTGCAACCCTAAACCCTGAACCCCATAAAACCCTTATAAACCGAAAAAGCCCGCAGAGTTACAAACCCGAAACCCGAAACCTTATACGCTAAACCTCCATCCCATGACAGTCTCACATAGGTTCTCAAGGCCTTCAGCCCGAATCTCTAAGCCTTATGGGTGGGAGGCAACCAGCCCACCTAAGCCCCATAAACCCTATGAGCATCTATACAAACCCTATAGTCTATCAACCCTATTCACATTGTGCGTCCCAAAAAACCTGTAAACCCTAAGCCGAAACCCTAAACCATAAACCCTGAACCCCATCCCATGACGGTCTCAGAAAAAGGTTCTCGAGGACCTTGTCTGCGGCTCAGCTCTACGAGATGCTCCTCGGCTCTGTGCAGGGTTTGAGGATTTTTGGGTTTAGGGTTCAGGGTTAGTCCTGGGAGGAGGAGACTCGTGGCGCCTAACAGGCGAGAGAGAGAGATAGAGAGAGAGAGAGAGAGAGAAAGTGGCAAAGAGAGAGGGTGTTTAGGGTTTAGGGCTTAGGGGTTTAGGGAGAGGGTTGAGGGCTTATAGGGTGTATAGGGTTCATGTTGCGTGGCGGAGTTCCTCTTATGCTCAAGATGATGTTCTTGGGCCAATCTTGACCATGTTGGCCCTCATTGCGGATCCTTCGCCGCTGCCAAGCCAGAGGGTCTAAGCGAACAAACCTGGCAAAGTTGTGTCGATCAGTGTCTACTATAGGGGCCTTAATAAGCAGAATAGGGTCTTGGGGGCCCATTATATCTTCATTCAGGATCGCCTTCTCAGTAATCTAGGTAATAATTAGAACAGGGTTTGGGGGGTATGTTATGCCATAATTATAATAAGGAATCCCCAAGGTTTGGGGGTATGTTCTGCCATAATTATAATAAGGAACCCCCAAAGCCGTATTCTAATGATTACGGCCCCTACAGTATTCGGGGGTGGAAAGGAACTGGGGGTGTCCGAAAATAGGGGGCCCTAACATAGTACCCTAAATAATAGGATCCTTATTATAGCGACCCCAAAATAAGGTATTCTAATTTTCGGAAGATCCCAACTCGTGCAGGCACCTTGACGAAAGATGGGCCGACCCGTAGCTTCGACTGAAGGCAAAACTCTATATGCGAATTGGACTGGGGGGTAGGGGGGGTTTAGGGTTTAGGGTTTTAGGGTCTGGGCATTCAAGACCAGGACCATCAGAAGCACTACTGACAGGAGCCATCATGGCATTTGTTCATTGCTTTTTTCACAAGGTATGTGGTTTCAGTGGAGAATCTGATTGAGATGACGAGCATCCGGCCATTCGAGGACGAGAGGGTGCACGATGATGCAACAACTCCCTCAGCCCTGGCCCTTAAAGCCCTAAGCCCTGGCCCCTGCAGTCTCAAAGCCCTGAGCCCTAGCCTCTACCGTCCCTAAACCCTAAACCCTGTCCCCTGAGGTCTAAACCCCAAGCTTTCGGAAATTTTCAACTCAATCGCAGTTAGCGGCCTTATTCTGGTCTGGGGTGTCGGCTACCAGCTCTTGGGTTTTGTAGGGGTTCGATGAACTTGCAGAAGGGTCTCGTGAAGGTGCTCTAGGCTATTTTGGTTTAGGGGTTTAGGGTTTAGGGTTTAGGGGTTTAGGGTTTAGGGTTTAGAGTTCAGGGTGTTAAAAGGCTCTATTCGTTCACGGGTTTTGTCGAGTTGTGTAGGCGTCTGGGGCTTAGGGTTGAGGCGTACCTATACCCTCTTGCTGGCTACCTGGCATCTTCATTCTGATGGCTACAACAAAGCAGCTCTTGAAGCCACAATGGCCTACCTATAGTCGACATTGTAGTTCCTTTCTGGCAATCTGGGGTGAATCTAGGAAACCCTAGGAACCTACATGCATAACTGGCTAACCAGCAAGCAGGAGCTGCAATGGAGAGTATAGGTAGATTGAAGTTGTGGCCAGATCGAGGCTCGGAGGTCCGCTAGGTTTAGGGTTTAGGGTTTCAGGGTTTCAGGGTTTCAGGGTTTAGGGTTTAGGGTTTAGGATTTAGGATTTAGGGTTTAGGGTTCAGGGTTCAGGTAGTTGCAGCACTTACAGGCCCAATTCTGGGAACACACAAGCACACAGGGAGCCTTACCTGCTAACTAACCTTGGGGCCTTAGTCATCATAGGGTCTTGGGGTATATTCTAGTATGTTTAGATCGAAGCCAGGGCATGCCAAGGACAAACGATTCTTTTGCAGCTGCCTTAGTGAAATCCTAGCCACAAGATGGGTTATCCAAAGCAGCCAGCTAAGCCATGAACCCTGAAAACAAGCCCTAAGCCTTAAACCCTAGGCATTTCCACCCTAAACCCTAAACCCTAAACGAGAGGAGCTGCTGGCTGAAGGTATGATGGTGGAGTTTGACGATGCGAAGTGGAACGCCATGCTCCTTCGGCTTGTTCTGCACATCATGCCAGGGTCCAGCCGTTAGGGTTATTTCAATGCTTTCAAAGACCAGACAGACGGACTTTCAGACGGACACACAGACTGACGAAGGGACAGGTAGACAGCCAGATCGGTAAGCCGATAGATCGATGAAAAGACAGGCAAAAAGATAGATAGCGAGATAGCTCGGTAGATGGCTAGCTACCTAGTTAGCTAGCCAGCTAACTGGCTAGCTAGCTAGCGAGCTAGCTACATAGAGGGCTAGCTAGTTAGCTAGATACATGGATTCCTTAGATAAATCGATGGATGGATAGGCAGGTGTGTAGATAGATGGATCGATGGATAGCAAGTGTTTTTGTTTGTTTGTTCATGCTTCTGGGTGAAAGATTTTCGGAAGGCTGTCGACATGAACGTGCGGTGTATAGCTGCTGCTTGATTAGAACCCACAGGATGGAAAGTTGATGTTAACGAAAGTGAAGGAAGATGTGCGGAAGTGAAGCGGAGGAAGTTACTCTAGTCCGTGAGAAGCGTTTATGAAGCGAACAACGGGAGATCAACGCGGGGCTGCCAAACGTGAACGTTTGTGTATGTGTGTGTGTGTGTGTGTATGTGTATGGTGTGTGTGTGTGTGTGTGTGTTTGGGGGGGGGGNNAGTGTTTGTGTATTTTTTGCGTAAAGACTGGTGTTTTTGTTTTCTTACTTTACCTGTTTATCGGTTTGTATGTTGTATGCTGGGTGTACGCATACATGCAGACATCAGAGCGTGTATATGGACGGAACATCTCTTTAGCTGTTGGCTTGAGCTTCTGACGAAGGTTTGTTTCGCACCAGTGGGCGGGTGTTGGCCATCCGGATCCCCACATGGAGCAATTCAAGGCTCGATTCTGCAGTGCTTTGGGAAGTAGTTTAAGGCGAGGTTTGAGTGAGGCTAGAGTCGTCATTACAACTTCGATATCATAATGTAGCTTTCAGCATAGGAAATTCCATAACTCCGTGAGTGCGGGTGCCTAGAAGACTGAGGGGGTCTTGGTGACCCAGTGCTGTCCTTGTCCGATTCAACCACCAACGGCTATGCAAAGTCTCTTTGAGCCTGAACCTCAAAGCTCCTTCACACGTGCGCAGAATTTTCTGGTAAACCCCAGTGGCCGATGCGGTGAACGACCTTGCACATCAGGCGTGCACTCGCAGTGCTTTTGAGTTTTATCCAGATGTTGCAGGTTCTGCAACAGGCGTTGAAGAATGTCCTGGGTGGCAAGACGGCGATCCATGCGAACATCAATATCGAGCCACTTCTCTTCACTTTCTTAGAGGGAGGGTATTGTACGGCTTTGGGTTCGTCAAACTCGGGGGCCCTCAACCCTAAACGCTAAACATACCATTGCGTAATAGCAGTGAGCAACACCGACAGGGCTTTTGGGGCTTCACAGCCGGATGTGGGTACTGAAAGCAAGAAGCATGCAACGACATAGGTTTATAATTACTGAGTCAATCGGAAGGTCCGAGAGTCCGCGCCGAAACCGGGGGTTGCTGGTTACTTAGGGGTTTTGGGTGGTTTCGGGCTCGGCGTACATGTGGCTGATGGTCCAATGCCTACCCCCGAGTCAGAAGGTTTTGGGCGGTAAGGCCGTAGGCTGTTACCGTATGGATTCTAGATTTCCACCTGTGTTTACCCAGAGAGGGCCCAATACACTCACAACGCACCTGTGTGCGGACATCCGGCGTCTTTAGCATAGTTAGAATGGAGGAATCATGAGGTTCGGCAAGTGCTGGTTGAGTTCTGCTCGGAATTGATTTTTGTTGATCGCTTTTCGGAATGCAGCATCTGAGTTCGAGTATTTCTATGAGAGGACAATGTCACTTCTGGCCTGTGCACGCTGGCGAGGATGCTGATAATTTTGGAATCGACAACCTAGCTTTGTCACAGGAGTCAGCTGCAAGAAGGCGGCATGTATCAAGATGTCGTGATCTTTGATTCTTTGGCAATGACAGAGCATGCCGGCGATTTGGAAGAGCTCTTGTGTTTTGTTCATGCCATGCCCTTGCATCAGTCGACGCACAGTGGCAATATCAACTGGGCGGATTTCGAGCTGGAGTTGCTACAGGCGACCCAGGAAGAGCCAAGCATCTCCTGCAGATTCCAGGGGTGTTGTTCTGGGAAAGTGGGGAGAAATGGAGGTGCGGGGCGTGTCGTTCCCGGAAACAAGGGAGCGTTGCACGGTGTAGGATCCTCGATGCATTAAAGAGAAAAGAGATGCAGAAAGTAAGAGAAGGCCAAGCGGAGCGACTACAGGACTCGAGCGGTCATGCTTGGGTCGCGTGAGTTCAAGCGGTCGAAACAACAATCCCTAAACCTTGAACCCTAAGGCCTAACCGAGCTGAGATAACCCCTAGCCACGCTTCTAGCGATGCAAGAGAGACCGTGCAGAATCCCCGTAGTCGAGATTCTCTCGGAGATCCCAAACATCCGATAAAACGATGTTCGCTTCCCCTTGATCGGCTGAGCCCCTGCTGTTGCAGAGCCTAACCTGTGTACGTACAATCCTACCATAGTTTCAGTGTGAGCCTTTGTCGGGCCGGGGTAACAGTCCAAGAACTTGACGTTTGCAATTTACTCCAGACTCGTCGGGTATCGGCATCTTTCTGCGATGTCTGATGTGGTTGCTCGGAATCTGCTGGGACTCATATACAATACTCCGCTTGACCCCAGAAACCCTAAACCCAAAACCCTAAACTAAAGCTCAAGCCGATAGATTTCTCAGTCATACCAATAATACTATTCCTTGTTGGGCTTAGGGGTTTAATCTCGGAGCCTTCATAATTACCTATACTTTTTCGGGAGCCTCTTGTCTCCATGGTAGTCCCTTTTGGGTTTTCTCATAGGGTCCTAAGTGTATCGCTGGTTAACCCACAAAGGGACTACAATGCAAAGCCTAATCCCTTTATACACCCTATAAGCCCGTGAACCCCAAAAGGGTAAAACGTAAACCGAAAAAGGAGCTACGTTTTCTACACTGTGGACTCTAGGTAGCATGTTCCGTGGAGCGAGGCTCTACATCGGCCAGCGACAGGCCATGACGGCCGAGGACCGGCGCTGGTAACATGGGTGGTTGTCTCAATTAGGGTCCTTTTTGGGTTTAGGGTTTAGGGTTTTCTTTGTTGGGGTCTTTCTTATAAGCGTGCCGTACAATATTGGGGACTTAAAAAGGGAACCTAATTGAGAGAACTACCGATATGAAAGGAGTCGGAAGAATTGCCAGCAAAGGAACCCTTTTGAAGGAGCCCTTTAATAGGAGTCGGAAGAGTTGCTAAGAATAGTATTCCCTTACAGTCGCTTTTGTTGTTACAATATAATGTATCCCAAGACCCTGTTCCAAATATTGATGCCCCTATTATATGCGCGATTCGAGGAGTTTTCGGCCTCCATTCCTTTCCTCCCCAACGGAACCTGAAACCCACTCGAATCCCGCCTCTTGCAGCCACGGAAGTGGGCAAAGGCTAAGGTTTTTATCCAGCGGTCACCCTCCCATTCTCTCAAGTTCTTCACCTACTTTGCCGGAATCGTTCTTTCTGTCTGTGGGTGAAGAGAACGATAATATTGAAGAGTGTGAATGTGTGAAGAGAATGGGGGCCAGCAAAAGACCTCTTTCTGTTCGGCAGTTGCCCATTCTCTTCACGCTTTCACATACTTGCACGGTATCGTTCTTTCTGCTCACGGCAAGACGTGACCCAGGCCAATATCATCAGGGAAGAGAACGTGAAAGCTTTCTTTCTGCTTGTGGGCGAAGAGAACGATAATTATGATGAGTGTGAATGTGTGAAGAGAATGGAAACCCAGGACATAGATTTTAGCCAAAAGGCACCCCCAACACCCTTGATGCTGTAAGCCAGCACGTTTCAGGTTCTCGAACTTTTGTCCAACCCGAAGCCACTTTTACCGGTGGTTTCCAAACTTTCGAAAATAAGCTCGTTCTGCCCAGCTGCTGACTCTAATTCAGTTACATTGAACAGGACTTCATGGTAAACCATCTCCAATTCCATTGAGCAGGACTTCATGTCAAAGCCTCTCTACATCTGGTATGACTACTTCTCCTGCCCACAGGCAGGTTTTGGCGGATGGGTCTCCGGGTCTATCTTCAGATGGGACCTACCTATGCGGGTAGTTCCCCACGTTATAGTCCTTCCAGGGAACCCTTTGCAATTCTACTCATTTCTACTCATAATACGGCGCCCTACAGTTTGGGACACAAAAAGGCGCTTAGTTCTGACAACCACCCAGGTACAGTCTCCATCGTTTCGTCTGTTTCTGGTTTACCAGCCTTGCGGTTAGGGTTTAGGGCTTAGGGTTTGGGGATTAGGTACACTATTCCCAGAAGAGCTGCAGTGGTACAACGCTGACGTCTTCAGATTTGGGGGGTATGCAAAAGGCCAGGCCGTGAGGCCCGGTTGTTTAACATGGGGGCTTCATCCACCCTAAACCTTAAACCCTAAACCTAAGCAATTCCGGCCCCCTAAACTGCCAAAGCCCCTACAGCCCTAAAGCCCCTGATGCAAGCCTTCGTTCCGAGCTGCCATGGAAGCCTAACTAAGCCCTAAACTCTAAACCCTGAGCCCTAAACCTAAACCCTGAGTTGCTCGAGTCGCGAGAGTCCAAACCCTAAACTGCCAAGAACAGGAAAGTCGAAGCACAAGCAGGCGAACCGTACCTGTAGCTCACAGACCTTGCTCCTCGTCAAGGGTTCCTTACTATGTTTTGGTCTTAATATTTATACAATGTAAATATGAGAATATGTACATATAAATATAGAATATAATAGATAGGTATATATATATATATCTGTTGTACATATTATCTTTAATATATATATATATATATAGAGATATGCACATATACGTGCAAGCCCTATGCGCCCTGAGGTCTGGACCCCAGTCCCCGAAGCTTCACCCATCAAGCTTCTTTAGGGTTTTTAGGGGTTTAGGTTTTTTAGGGTTTTGAGGGGTTTAGGGTTTCTAGGGTTTTAGGGTTTAGGGTTTAGGGCTGTGGCTCAAGACATCGCGCGCTCTGCGCCTCTAAGACGGAACGAGAGCACTCTTGAATCACCCTTGGGTCTAGGGATGGCTATATGGGCTGCTAGGTGGTGAGCTGGTGTTTACGCGCGTTTCGGACTCAGGAGCAGTCTACGACTTAAGCTCTGAGAGTTAAGCTTCAGGATTCAGGGGTTGGGAGTCTAGGATCATTCTTTCGAGCTTTAAAGGTTCTATGATACAGGGGCCTGAAGTTTGGTGCTGTAGTGTTGCTCTGCATTGTTTTGGCAAGCTATATACTTAGATGTCTTCTTGCCTGTTGGCCTTTTCCCTGTGCTGCCAGAGTCTTATCTGTCATCACAGCCTCTTTTTGAGATTGCTTGTTGAACTGCTCGATGAATTTGCTGTTGCGCAGCGGTGAAGCGCCACTCCTCTGAAAAATGTAATGACTGGTACAGCGCACACGTGGTATCCTCTCTGCGAGCCCTAAAGCCACAGGTGTTCGGGGCAGATAATGATTACCTAAACCTTGAACCCTAAACCCTAAACCCAGGGAAAACAACACCGCTACCAGACTCCAGAACCGCTCCGAAGCGCTGGCCCTCAACCCTCTACACTAACCCTAGACCCCATAAAACCTTCTCTGCTTGAGCAAGACCTCGAAGCAGATGCCTCGCCTGGAGTGTCCGAGTGTGAGGTCTACCCTTGCAATTTCTACCCCGAAGCCTTCAAAAAACCCAGAAGCCCTGAATCCCAGTAGAGGCCCTGGTCAAGCTCCAGGGGATTTGTATAGAGGTCGCTATAGCTCCCATTAAGGGGTTTTGATTGTTGCACCCTTCTAGAGATAGTGACGAGAGATGTACAACATACAGCCCATTCAAGTTATTAAGAACCCTCCAAACCCTGAACCTTAAACCCTAAACCCTAAACCCTACCTAAACCAAAGCCTTCCAATTCCCGGAGTTCAGGCGGACCGCGAACTGGCGCATCGCCAAATGGCTGCTTGGCTTGAGCGGTCTATAGAGCTCCTTCAAGGCATCCCGTTGTTCCTGTGAGGATTCTAGAAGGGTCCCATAAGCTTTCTGCAAGTTTGGTTTCTGGGAGTTTGGCGGTTTAGGGAGGTTTGGAGTTCGGGTTTCGGGTTGAGGGAGTTCTAGCTGGTAAATCAGCATTGGCACGCATACCACAGTTCTGTCCGAACCTCCTTAAGACACAACATGCACTTTGACAGAACGACTCGTCTGGTGGTCTAGGCGCTGGAAAGATTTTGGGGCAGAGTGAGGTTGTACTTTTGTTTTACATGCAAACTTCTTAGACCTTGCAGCCCCAGCGGCTCATCAGCAAGCTATGAGCTCAACAGCTTGCAGTCCGTCTTACTAGTACGGAGCTTGGGTGAATGTGTGTATGTTTGGTGACCTCGTCTTGCGACCGGTTCAACTGAGGCCATACTCAGCATTCCCGCTTCCGAGCTGCCATGGAACAGGGCTATTCTACCCAACTTCTTCTTGCTATTTGCGTTTGTGTGTCTGTGTGTTTGTTTGCTCGTGGCTTGCTATTTCAACTTTCAGACATCAAGACGCCGGCTTTGTGCTTAGGCTTGGCAGGAAAGGGTTTCGAGTTTCGGGTTGGGTGAGGCCCCAAAGCCTAAACCCTCAGCGCTGGACACAACGTGGAGGGGTGTCAACCCTGAGCCCTAAACCCTGAACCAATCAACGCAATAATGTAGGGGCCTAAATAATCACCAAAACTATTCTGGGGGTTCCTGATTATAACTATGGTAAAATTCTAATGATTAAGGCCCCTATATTATGCCCAAGATCCTGGGTTCGCCTGCAAACCAGGTGAGCAAAAATGAATTGATGGCCCGACTTGCATACAGAGAATTTCGCGCGTGTGTGTATGACTTCTTTCCTTATTACACATGTAGGTGGGTAAGTAGGTAAGTATAAACTGTTGTGTGTCTATAGATGCTTGTAGGCACACGCATGCTGACATGCATATAAGCATATGTACATGCATACCATACAGAAACTGATTCACAGGTGTATGTAGGCACACCTGCATGCAGGTACCTATACTGTCACATTTGTGTAAATATGTGTAAACTTGTAAGCATATGCGTCTATATGAATATACAGGGGTATAGATTTATGTAAGGGTAGTTACAGGTAAATGTAGCAACAATGCATGTATGTCTATCTATCTATATATATATACACATACACACACACACACACACACCTGCATACATGCATACATACCGTCTTTCTTACATTACTTAAGTGTAGGCATTCGTTTTGAGGGTCTGTCGCATGTCCCTCTCAAGCGTGTTGATCACAGTTACATACATATTTTGTGCCTGTTGAAATTCAGGTTTATGCGTTCGGACGTACGTACCGTTAAGCCGTCTTACGACGGGTTGATTTTCGGGGAGATCTTGTTAGTGATGTTGCCGAGCTGTCTGATGTTGACCGCATCAGAGATCTACTATGGTATGATGTTGGAAGGAGTTGGAAGAATAACACTTTGCCAGGACTTCGCCAAACTACAAGCGCTACGTAGTGCTACGATAGTTGGCCTTATCTGAGCTTCATTTTGGTCATGTACCCTGCTTGTTCGTGTTTGCGAATTCCTCTTGAACGTCTCGCTTTGCAGATCATGAGTTCCCTTGCACAAGGGGTTCCAGAGTATGGAACCCTAAACCCTGAACCCTAAGGCCTTTGTCAGAGCAGGGTTGCTTTCCGGGTTCCCTGGGAGGGTTCATCTAAAGGGTTGCTGTAAGGGTAGCTATAAGTGCATCAGCTCACTTTGCGCGGTCGCTGCTTGTCAAGATGTCATTGCTTGCACATGCACCGTGCACCTGTGCAGCATTATCTGTCCACACCGTCTTTGGTAAGCGGGTTCAATACGACCGCAGCTGTGATGACATCGCAGCTTGTAAACCTTGTTTCTTTTTGCTCCGTCAACTCCATGGACATTTTGCAAGTTTGTCCGGCCTCTCACGGCGCATTCAGTGGTAAGCTGCTACGGCATTTCGGACGTTGAGCTTCTGATTCGCAGATTGTTTTGGTGCCCGAACAGAACCAGAGAGCCCTCTGCCGAGAACGCGTCCTGACTTGGGGAATCCTCCGCGACCATACTGTACTTACCTATAGTCTCCATTGTAGTTCCTTTTTGAGGTTATCTTATAGGATCCTTAATATATACTTGGTTAAGCCAAAAAAGGAACTACAGTGGAGACTATAGTGCCGCTGAGGCTTACGTGGAAAGATGCCGTTACTTCACCGTTCTTTGCCCACACGTCCGCCACGTGACGCAGGAGCCATGACGACAGCCTGAGTTCTCGGAGACGTCCTATAGAATCTCCGAGTTTGATATCAGCTGCGCCCGATGGTCGAGTCTCCACATCCTTTGAAACACATGAACCTGAAACTGTGGAAGCATCCTGTGGGCTTCTTGGATTCTTGCGGTCCGCATGAACCTCAGAAAGAAGGCCAGGCGTGACAGCACAGTAAGAAAGATCCATTCCTAAGCCCCCAAAACCGGGAAGGACACGCTACTCAGCCGACGATCTTGGGCGAGCAGAGGATGGTGCCGGCTCGAGAGAGTATGCAAGGACGGAGTTTCGGTTGAGGGTGTTCAGCATCTGCGTGGATAAGGGCACTGCAACCGGCTGCAGGGTTGGACGTGGCTGACATGGCCCGAGCTGCGAAATTGCATCCTCAGACCTGCAGCGCGGTACCCTGGATCCTAAAGAAATTATGTTCACACGGTGTGGCCTTTCTACTGAGAGTGCAACTCTTTTAGCACCAACCAGTTCTTGTCTCTTGATGCTAGAAGACAAGTGCGGGGTTCTAAACCCTAAGCCCTACACCNNCCTAGTTTCCTCAGAGACAGAGATGTAGCCCATGGGATTCTGCTTGAGATAGGAGCGGCTCTGCTACTGTTCTTCAGCCCCATTTCGTAACCCTTACGTATAGCAGCTCTTATAGCCTCCCGTGTAGAACTCCTCGTGGTATTTGCTTTCGGTGTCGCACGGCGTTTTGTGTTGGTAAGCGTGCAAGATGAAGGCTTACGTTCAACACAAGCTGGTTGTACATCCCGAAACGGTCTTATGTTCATACAAGGGCCTACATGATTACCGTTGCTATTCCTTGTATGGGTCCTTACTGGAGCTGAGTTACAAGTTATAACTGTACCGCGATATGCCCCCCCCCCCCCCCAC